ATGTCGTAAACCTTCGTCGGTTCTCAAAATCAGGGCTTATATTCTCGTAGCCGGGGAACAGGATTGCTGTGCTGTGTCTTTGTCACTATTATGGGCGACTAAGGCAGAGAAATCGTTCTTATGAGAGCGCAGTTCCCCGGTTACGAGAATACGGGCCAGGAAGCAATTGATTAAATTTGTCAAAAAAATTAGGCACTAGCCGTCACACACATGGCCTCATTTTCGTTGGGGGAAAAACAAAGCGTCACATAACGTGATGTCACTTTCAATGTGTGTGACGTCAGCTAGTACCTAATTAATCTTTCTGGCGTCATCGATGACGTAAGTACAAACCTTCGTGCAAAGAACTATGTTTATTTGAAATTTCAGACATAAAAAAATTTATTTGTTAAAAAAAGAAGGCAAATGATGACGTAAGTACAAACCTCGCGAGTCATTTACTTTCCATCAAACCCCACCAAAAAAAAAAAATAGTGCTATAGCACCCCTCAAAATAGTTGCGCCTATGCCTAGGTATATGTATATTGATATAACTCATTGATAACTCTAGTATTGCTTATTTTAATGATACATATAAGGTTTAATAGGTCTATCTCTAACAGTTTTCAAAAAAAAATTTAATTATAGATGTTTCAGTCAAAAGAAACAATGTGTTAGAAAGAGACCTATCTCATTTTCCTTATAGATATAAAGATATAAAGTATTCTTCTAACACATTGTTTCTTATAACAAAAACAGATATAATTTTTTTGCTGGAAAACTGTAAGAGATAAACCGATCGAACTTTGTATCATTGAAAGCCGCAAAAGCAGAGCGATCCAATCAGTTATTGATATATAGGGTGTCCGGTGTCCCATCAAAACAATCGGACTCTGGTTAATATCTCGAATTCGGGAACAAATAGAAAAAAACTGAGAAAGTCACTGGATTCTCTAGCGACAAAACGGTTCAAGATATCATAAAATTTGAGCCTCATAGTGGGGGTTGATTTTTTTGTATCTCGCTCAGAAATTGATGTTTTCTATCAAAAGTGTCCAAATTGGACAACCCTGCACATATCAAAAAACCGAAAATAACAAATGAAAATACCTATTCCAAATAAAAATGTAACACATTTATCTGATAAAAACAAACAATAAATTGAACAATAATAATGTAGCTTGGAAAATTTTCCAATAACATTTTATTGGAAAATTTCTCCATGAACTTTTATTGGAAAATTCTTTTATAATTTTTTTCTATCTATGAGTTTTAAAAAAAATTTAATAGTTTTTGAGGCTCTCAGGGGGGGGGGGGGCTGGATCCGCCACTGTCTGCGAGCGCATGCAACATGCACTTCGGATTATGGAAAGATGGTGCACGGAATACACTCTGTCCATCAGCCCCAGAAAGACTGAAATGGGCCTATTCACAAGAAAGGGGAAACTGGTACTTCCGACAGCACCCAGGCTCTTAAGCACCGAACTAAGTTTTGGCGCCGAGGTCGAATATCTGGGAGTGACACTCGATTGCAAACTAACATGGAACTCTCATATTGTTAAGAGAATACAGAAAGCATATATCGCTGATGAACAGTGTAGACTTAATATCGGTAAGTCCTAGAGTTTCTCTCCCAAGTTATGTGGATCTACACAACCATCACCAGGCCTATGCTTACCTATGGGGCTATTGTCTGGGGACATAAGGCCGAACAGACTACTATAAGCCGAAAACTAGACCACGTTCAAAGAATTACATGCCTCAACACAACTGGTGCAATGAAAACCACACCAACTAGGGCTTTGGAAGTAATTCTATGTTTGACGTCCCTGGATACTTATGTCAAGGAGGTCGTTTTAACCACAATGATGCGTTTCTGCACTATTGGAATAGAACCAAGTGCAGAAGTAGGTTTGCAGAGAGCCCGCATATGACGTGAGGTAATGCACTGGCTTTCATTGTTGAAGGCCAGAGTGGACTCTGGAACACCATGTTTCGTCTTCAGAAAGCACTATGCAATCAATATGAAAGGCATTGGAAACAACACAGTGGCAGGAGTAAGTAACATCTACACTGATGGTTCCAAAACTGAAACAGGCTCGGGATGCGAAGTATACTCCAAAGCCCTCAAACTAAACCTATTTTAGTTATAGCCCTTGGCTCTATGCCAAATGCCCTCCAAACCGAAATTACTGGCATAACCATTACGGCTAAACAAAAAGTCCACAAAAATATCACTGACAAGATCGTGCTCATCCACACGGACTGCAGACAAGCAGTACTAGCCCTATCTAGACCGCGACTCACGTTAGAACTAGTACAACATTGCCACCGTACACTCACAGAGGCGTCGATCAACAAAACGCTGGTAGTCAGCTGGATCATAGGACATGATCACAGCAAAAGCTATCAGGCTGCCGACGCTCTAGCTAGGAGGGCCGCAAGGCTACAGCCTTCTGGATCGGAGCATTTCGTGGGGCTGACCATCTCATCAGCCAAAGCTATGATAAAAAAACGCTGGGACGATACGATTGGCTGCAACTTATCCAAGGAACTGCTAAGCTATCCAGATAAAACTGCAGCGAGCCAAAAGCCACCCTTGTGTAGGGCTTGTTATCAAGAAGACAACACGATAGAGCAGATTCTCTGTGACTGCACTGCTCTTTCGCCAATACGCCGAGCCAGATTAGGCCAATCGTACCTATCACTAGAAGAGATCAGAGGCACCGCCCTCGGCGACGTTATCGCCTACGTTGAACCGCTAGGCTGGATGACGAGCTAAGGATGACCTCTCCTCTTGTGGAGGCGCACAATGGGCCTAATGTGGCATAAGTGCAACCCTCCCAAACATACAGATCCAGAAGTGTTTACATTTTTCGTTATCCTGATGGACTGCAAACTAGAAAATATATTATTTTTTTTACTTGAAAGATGAGAAAGTGCTGAGTAGTTCTCTATGACTTTTTAAGGGAAGCACTAAAAGTTAACGGAAACTAAACCTTTAAATAACTGCGAAAGTTCTAAATTATTTTATGATCAAACCATTTTATTGCAGTTCCTAAAATTCCAATATGTAATTTACTTACTGCTTTTCACCCATCGTAAAAGAATTGGTGCTGAAAACATAAACTTAAAATGAATAGCCATATTTCAACAATCACTTGTCACAAAAAGTATCGCATAATTTAAAAACCAGAAAAAAAGTTTAAAAGTAAATATCAATTTTTAGCAGTAGGGACATTCTCTAGGTGTGTAAAATTCCATAATATTCCAAAATTGATCTGTATTTGTTTGTCCTAGAAAAAAATTAAACAAAAGGAAGAGATACATTTTATTTTTATTATCATTTGCCTTTTAAAATTGCTTGTGTGCAGTACTTGCTTGCTTTTTCATAAAGGAAGTGTATTCGGGTATTTTGACTAAAATATGAGTAATTTGTCCTCTGGAATTTGTATTATGTTCTCTGGAAGAAAAACCATCTATAAATTAAAAAACAGTCAAGGGCGAATTATTTGCAACAGGGAAGACATTCTGAACGTTATAGAAGACTTTTACCGTCAGCTGTATGAAGAACAGGGATAGCGCCAGCGTGCTGAAAACCACACACTGCCCCAAGTGATGAACCAAGGGTCTGAAGAAATTCCAGAAGTGAGAAAAGCACTCCAAGAAATGTAAAACGGTAAATCTCCTGGTGAAGATGGAGTAGTGGTTGAGGCTATGAAATTAGCTGGGACAAAACTCCTACAGGCTCTAGTAAGACTCTTTTTAAAAATGTCTAAGTGAAGCAATAACTCCAACTCAGTGGCAAAACGCAGTAATTATCCTATTGCATAAGTAAGGGGACATTACAGGCCTTAAAAACTACCGCCCGATCAGCCTGCTTTCAAACATCTACAAATTATTCACCAAAGTTCTGACAAAAAGACTAGAAAATAAATTAGAATTCTATCAGTCACGAGAACAGGCAGGATTTAGATCTGGATATGGAACAAATGATCATCTACTGGCAATAAAAAATACGATGTGTGTCGAATACAAGCATCTAGTACTGATATTTGTGGATTACGAAAAGGCTTTTGATACAATCAGTCACGGAAAAATCCTGGAAGCTTTAATAGAATGTCGTGTAGACCACCGATATACAAACATCATTAAACATATATATCGGAACGCCACAGCAAGTATTAGACAGGACGATAGACAAACCGAAAAATTCTCCATACAACGTGGAGTTCGACAAGGAGACACCATTTCACCACGACTGTTTACCACACTGTTGGAGTATGCATACAAGAGGGCAAATCTGAGTGAAAAAGGTATCAATATAAATGGAAAAAATCTAAACCACCTTCGATTTGCGGATGATATTGTCCTAATAACGGACCGTATAGACGAAGCTAAAGAATTAGTGAACAGGCTCCACCGCTCTTCCCTAGAAGTAGGACTGAAAATAAATATGTCTAAAACACAAATTATGACAAATCTAATACTGAGCGGAAGCATAAACATTGCTGGAGCAGCCATTGATCAGACAGACTACTTCTTACAAATACCTAGGACACGAGATTTGCCTTGGAAGAGATAACCAAACCATCGAACTAAACCGCCGCATCAGATTGGCCTGGGTAGCTTTCGGCAAACTTATGTTTTCAAATCAGATATCCCAGTAAGCCTTAAAAGAAAAACATTCAATCAATGCGTGCTGCCAGTTCTTACCTACGGAGCAGAGACCCTGACAGGCTTATAAAATACTCAATAACCAATGTCTTTTTAATTTGGGAAAGTTAAATTAAGTGTGCTGATTTTAACAGTCATACTCCTATTTCCCGTATCGCAGAAACTGTATTTTTGATAGGTATTCTATAAATGGAACGCCGTTTAAAACAAATCACCCTTATTATAGTTCTATCTGAGCTACGTTCTTATGTCTATGTGAAGCTCATAGTTTAGTACAGACAAGGACACATAAAAAGAGAACTGTTATTACTGAGTATTCGTTAATGTGCTTTCTATTTTTGCAGTATGACTACGCGACCGTACATCAGCTGCTTTTCGAGAATGCTGCATCACTTCACATACTTATTAATAATTCATTCAATGTATTGCCTGCTGAACTCAGAAAACGGGATAACAAAATACCCTACGGTAAGTGTTTGCTATATTTTATTCCTACAGTTGCTATCTCTCACTGAGTACATGGAACCTCCAAATAGAATATCCTAAATATTTAAATTAGATGATTTCCAAATTAAACATATTTCCAGGAATCGATTTAACCAAGGCTTATACGAAAAAAGATATAAAGAAGCTTGACGGTGATCAAGCATTAAGGAACTCAATCAGCTTTACGAAATCAACGTTGGGTCTATGTCTTTCTCTCGCCTTAGAAACAAACGGTAAGCTGATTAAATTTTTTGCGTACTCAGATTGCATGCGTTCATGTCGTTGCTTTCTGCCAGTCGAAATAAATCTATTATTGTATATTTATCTCCTTTCCCAGAGACATTGAAACAAAAAGGCGCAAATCGCCCTTAGTAAACTATAAAGAACGGAAATTTGATCTAATTTTGAAATTATTCTTAAATGACTTCCGATGAAGATGGAGTATGAAATTGTCTTATTTGTCAGTTTTTACATGTCTTGTTTTTGAAAAATTCTGTGTCAAAACTAAGGCTGCAAAATTGAACGGTTTCGTATAGTTTCTTGCTGTGTTGAAACAAAACTATTAAAAGTGAGTGGATATTACCAAAGGATTACGTCTAGAGATTGAAAAAGTATATAAGTTTGTTTTTACGATGTTATCCTGTATTCAAACTAATCAACACTTTTCCAAAGATTTTAGTTCAACTCCAAAATCTCTCTAATAGTCAATTTACCAAAGCTCCTTTTTTCTGTCTTAACCTATCCACAAGCAGCTTCTATTATACAGGGTATACCATTTAAAACGAAACAGGCTAAATATCCGATGTGATTTTCATTTATTTATTTTTTAATCGCTCGTACACGTAATTTGATTGTGTGAGTGTTTGAACCATTTTCAGCACTTACTTAACTCTAAATGACATCATATGAAAGATAATTCAACGCTCTTTTAAAAGAGGTATCACTCGACCCCTTGTTCCATTTGAAATAGTAACGGTTGGTTCCACCCCGCCTAGAGGGTTAAAGTGGAAGTAATAAAAATGGTTGCAGAAAACTTCCTTCTTTGAAAATCAAATTACGTGTACGGGCGATTTTTTTTTTCAAATAAACGTGGTATCAGATATTGAGCCTTTTCCATTTTAAATGGAATGTATTATAATTCGAGTGAATATTTCAAAATTGTCTAGGGCGGCTAAAATATTCCCTATGCTTCCTGATTTTTATTAAAGAAAATTTTCGCGCAACCTACCTTAATTTGTAACATTGTTTCTTCCTAAACCTCAACATCCCGTTCAAGCGTGTCATTTTCACGGTAGGCTTTAAGTGTTAAATCACATTCATCTTGCATTTGGGACTGCGTTGGATTCTATACGTGAATACTTCTCTATACAGGGTGTCCCAAAAAGATACCGACAAACTTTAAGGGGTAGTAGGGGACATCAAAACAAGCATTTTTGTTTATATAAACATATGTCCGCAAATGAGCCATTTAGGCTGTAGAGCAAAAAAACTGTTTGATACTTTTAATTGATGATATTAGTTAGGTTAGAATCGCAAATTGGCGCGGGTTCCTAGTTCAAAAATTAATACATTGATGTCTTATGGGGACTCAATTTTAAAAGCGTCTGTAGTCGTGATAGAACGTTTGTTACGGAATTGAGTTGTATAAATAGTTTTTTTAATATGTTAATTAACTGAGAGAGTGATTGAAAGTTGAATAAACATTGTTAAAATAAAAATATTACCAATTTAAGAAGCCGATGTTTGTATAAAATACGTATGTCCTTGCTTGATTCATAAGTATATATGAGTACCTAATTATAATAAAATAAAAGTTCACCTACATACTTGGTTAGTAAATGTACTTCAATAATCCAAAAAAATTGAAAAATAAATGACTGAACTAGTGATAAATAAATAAATAAACAATTCACCAACAATCATAACACAACACACAACCTCACTTTCTCTCAGCTGGTTTTAGACTCGACGTACGTCCACCGAAAACAGACACTTTTAATTAAAATCATTTGTATTTTTAATTCATAGGTCTAAAAAAACAATTAGAGCATGAATTATAGAGAAATATGTTCAAAGTTTGATGTACAATAGGTTCCAATACTAAGAAATGCCCAGAACCCAAGATATTCCCGTCTGAAAATCACTCTTTTGAATCCCCCATAAGAAATACATTGCTGTCAAATTTTTTGAAATGTGTTTAGGAACCCATTTTAAATTTCGCGCCCGATTTTTCTTAACCTAACTAATATGGTCAATTCTTCGCAATAATTCAATCACTGTTTCCTTATTAATTTTGCTTTACAAACAAATAAATTATGGTTTACAATAATTGTTCAAAATGTTGACTATTTACTTCAATGCAAAGATTGCACCGTCGGGTCATTGACTGAAAAGTTTAGTCTACGAAACACCTGTTCGTAATAAGGAAGATCTGTTAGCAAGGATATTGGCGAGTTGTACCCATGTAGAAGCTGTTCCCGGAATATTCCAAAGAGTTCGCGAGTTGAAGAATTATTGTAAACCATAATTTATTTGTTAATAAAGCAAAATAAATAAGTAAACAGTGATTTAATTATTGCGAAGAATAAAACTAGGTACCAAATAGTTTTTTTGCTCTACAGCCCAAATGGCTCATTTGCGGACATATGTTTATATAAACAAAAATGCTTGTTTTGATGTCCCCTACTACCCCTTAAAGTTTGTCGGTATCTTATTGGGACACCCTGTATATACAGGGTGTCCCACTAAGGTCGACGAGGTACGTTATTATGGAAACCATAGGCCTTACGGCATCGGGATTTTTTTCTTCTTCACTAAATCGGCCAAGAGAAATTGATGGAAAATATTTTCAAGTTTCTAAGATGGCCGCTAGGGGGCGCAATCACGATGATATAACTAAAAATTCAAATTTTCTCGAAAAATCGCTATATTAAGGTACTGTTTTAACAACAGAAATCAAAAGTTCGTTAATTTTTGCGCCAGTTTGCTTATTAGCCTTTTTTCGTATCTTCCCTAATAAGGGTGGGGGAAGCTGGTGAAAAAATACTTTTAAAAATTGCTGTATCTTCCATATCCCTTATCCAAACTCATTCAATTTGGGCTTATTCGAAAGAGAATTTCATTGTTATCAAGAGCGCCACTTCGTTCGGGGTCGATAGTTACCACCGCGACTTCTAGAGGGCGCTGTTTAACCAAGATCCAGTTTTTTCTAATTTTCTGGAAAAATCCAAATGGCATGATATACTTTTTTATAACTCTGCTTAAAGAGCAAAAAATTATCTACATTTTCGCGCAAACCGCAATCCGATATCTGCATTCGTTTTCAAGTTATTTGCAAATAACTATTTTAATCGATTATCTCCCTCCTGTTATTTTAAACCAATCAAAAAATCTCATTTTGTGGTCAAAAATTATTTTCAAGTGGAAAAATTTTTGAATAATTTCCATCAATTTCTCTTGGCCGATTTAGTGATGAAGAAAAAAATCCCGATGCCGTAAGGTCTATGGTTTCCATAATAACGTACCTCGTCGACCTTAGTGGGACACCCTGTATATATTTTTAATTTGATAAGGTCTTCCTCCTTATAGATTTGATAAGGTCCTCTCCCTCTTCTTTCTCAGACCAGAAACAGATATTCACAAGAAGTGAGGTTATTAAAAATCCCTTCAATCGAGAATCAGCTGATTATGTCAACCTCAAACCCAGCAATTAGCGCACGTTCGAGAACTTTCTTCGGGAGCAAAATTTAAACTCTAGGCCTTTTAAAATAAAGTTGACGTCATGTATGGCATACCAAGGAAAGTGATAAATACTATTTCAAATTAAGTTAACTGGAGTTATTTTTTGATGGTTTTAAGGAGCATGTTCAATGGCTCGTAACATTGTTATTTACCTTATATGGTTCCAAAAATACAATAATCCCTAATTTTCAGCTACTCAACCATTGATTGTCATTCAATCAACTAAAAATTTCTGGTGTAATTTTGATCTGGCTTATCCTTGAAAGAACAAAAAAAAAATAGTTTCTCAAAACATCTTGAAATAATCCTGCTTTCCTTCCGGAAAAAAAAGGTATTCAGTTGTTTTTTCTTAGAATTTAGCCTTACATATCTAAAGCAAATTAGATGGGGCCTTGTGAAATGATTTTATAGTTAGCAGCCTATTTAGCCCATCTAAAAACCATTTCATTCGCAACCATTTATAACTTCAATCATATTTTAGTGATGTATACAATCTCTTTTGAGTACACTTTTGTAGTGTCTCATAATATTTTTTGGTTCAATTTTCTAGGTACGATCTTCAGTTCGAAACACTTGGAGCTGCAGAAGAACGCAAAGAAATTCTCAACAGTTTTAGCGAAAAGAGTGGCGTATTCAGCCGTTCCCCGTGATTGTACCGATTGCGAATGTACTTCCCTTCATAATGGTTTATCTTACATGGAGTGCACCCCTTGCACTTATCCACGAATTAATATGGAACACCATGTAAGTATATAATAGCCCAGTATGCATTTAAAATTGATACACAAACATTGGAAATGGATTAAGAAATTTTAGACAATGGTTTTAATTGTAGTGTTGTCTCACATTTATTCCGTTTTCGTCTTTCAATTTTTATGTGCCATATTGTAGGTATAGTAGTTATTATGGAAATAATTTATTTATAGGCGGTGTAACATTTCAAGTGTTACTACCAGGCATTCCTAAATGCCTGGAATCATTGAATTAGGACATGAAAATTTGATTCTAAATGCAAGTTTATTTATTTTTGTACGCTTTTTGTGTATCTGAGTGTCCTGAAGAAGAAAAATAAAATTGCGAAAAGTCGACAATTTTACTACCAAAGTAATTTTAATAACTTTCGATTTCTCTATCGCCTAGTCCATTTCAGTTTCCGAAAGAACATAAGCACACTTTTCTTTCAACGATCTACGACAAAAGTGGAGTTTTATTAGTTTTATTTTTATTGGACATATCAACAACAGCTATTATTATTTGAATGAAAGTTTCTTTCAGAGAATAATAATTTTCTTTCGCTTCAATAAACTAGCGGGAATATGAAATTGAATTGATTAATTGGCACCAGCACCAGCCAGTGAAAAAATGTTGATATGACAATTTGACATACCTATTCCTCTGATTAAAGAAAAATTATATTTTTGCAGCCGTATGCAACATCTTCTTTTAATTTGGAAAGCGACTCTAGAAATAAATTCGTATTGCTTAGAATTCAAATTTTCAAAATTGACAAGTCTTAAAAGCGTTTTTAAAGGATACACACATCTTATCGGATTTTGGTACCCGGTCAAATTTGATGAAATTTTGGTATTATGTTTTTCTTGAGGTCAAAGGTGTCAATGAGCACGAATCAATCCTATGATCAGTTTTTGGGATACAGGATTTTTCTATACGAAAATGATTAAGACGAAACAATATTTTTATATAAATGAATGCGCATATGATACTTTAACACGATTTTGATTACAGGGCGTACCGCACTTTTTATTTCAATTTTTTTGGCCTAATCAATTCCGGAATACTTACAAAACGATTTTATGTAAAATGCTTTATTTTTTATTCGTAGAACTTTTCCAAATATAGGGTGTCTACTTGAAAGTTAGCTGCATATAAAAAACCTAATTATTTGGCTTTTCTCAGAAAATTTTCTTGATAAAATAATCTGCTTTATAAGAAAATACTTCTGACACTATTAGAATTATGCCCAGTTGTACAATCTTGATTCAAAACAGAGTTCAGCTGAACTTGACTGGTACTTGAGCTTTCCCATTTGAAATGCATTGCTGTCAAAATTGATAGAATTTGATTAATAGCTGACAGCAATGTATTTTAAATGGGAAAGCTCAAGTACCAGTCGAGTTCAGTTGAACTTTGTTTTGAGCCAAGATTGTACAACTGGGCCTTAATCAATCAATCAATAAAGAGTCCCAAAAATTTTAAAAAAGTCACGTAGGAAAGTCAAAAATATTGAAAATCAATGTTTGAAGCGCCTGAAGCGGCCAAATTGAATGTCATAAGTCTGACGAAGATAATAGGTTCTAAAGAATAAATGAATGGGCTGACACCACCAAACATGAATTTTAACTTTGCTGGACCACGATATGATTTAGTGGAAAACTCGTCATGGGCGTATTACGCCAAGATGGAGGCGTATTGTTTAGCCTCAATGATATTTTTTTAGCAATATAATGGATTTAAAATGTCTTATCCCAATCAGACAGACTCGATCAGCTCGCTGGCATTTAACGAATGGCAATTGGCACGTAGAGGCCTCTGAGGCTTTGCCGAGGAGTAACCGAACTTGCCTAGCCTCAGAAGTATTTTTTTGTAAAGCAGAACATTTCATCAAAAATATTTTGTGAGAAAAATAAAATTTCTCATATACAGCCACCTTTCAAGTATAGACAATTTGTATTTGGCAAAGTCGAACATAGCTGAATCCTGTAAGGATCTTTCGAATATTAGTGCATATTAGTGCATATGTTCTATAAATAAAATAAAAAAATATTGTGGCGCTTTCGCCAATGTGTACAGAATTCAAACCTGAAAATCTAGAAAATACTGCCTTGTCAAGGGGATTATCGCGTTTATTCTGGATTTAACAAGAACGGAATACGGATATATAAAGGTCGTCGGTATTAGTTGGAAGTTTTAAGTATAAGATTGGCTGTGATACGTTTTAGATAATGATTATTGTTAAAGTTTTAAAGAGTTAAGTTGTTTGAGTTAATTAGTGAAGTAATAAGTGTCAGAGTGTGTAGTAACGTGGAATAAATTATTGTTGTGTTAACCAGAATTTGATTTTGGAATAAACGAACCCAAGATTTCTGTCACGCACCCCAGAGCCGTGACATTGGTGTCGGAAGTGAGATATAATTCGAGTACTGTAAAGTGAAATCCGATTGCAGAGTAGTCTGGACACTAGTGTGGACACTAAGTAAACACTGGAACAATTAGTCAGTGTAGGCAGTGCCAATCATAAGGAGAGACTCAACCGATCGTGTAAATTACCTCGGAAGTGACTATATAACCTATTTCGACTGTGATAGTGAATTTTCAAGTAGGTTCTAGAAAATTCCATTTGTAAACCAGGGAAGATATTGAATTTGTGACTTCACCGAAGTGTTTGCTATATCAATCTACATTCAGAAAAGACATTTCAAGAAAATTCTAAAACATTCTATTTATTCGAGAATAAAGCAAGTTATCCAATTTTGGACTTTACCGAAGTGTTTTGAACTTCAATCAAAAACCAGGAAAGATATTTGTATAGATTTTGAGGGAAATTTCAGAACATTCTGTATATGCCTATTACGAGACAACAAGCAGAAATGGAAGAAGAAAAAATTGAAGAACTTTTGCGCAAAATGTTGGAACTTCAAGAGACCAAACGGCAACAAGAAGAACAAGACGAAGAGGCCAGACGCCAAAAAGAAAAACAACAAAGAAAAGCTAAACGACAACAAGAAAAACAAGACGGAGAGGCCAGACGACAAAAAGAAAAACAAGAAGAAGAAGCTAAACGAAAACAAGAAAAACAAGACGAAGAGGCCAGACGACAAAAAGAAAAATAACAAAGAGAAGCTTAACGACAACAAGAAAAACAAGACGAAGAGGCTAGGCGACAAAAAGAAAAACAAGAAGAAGAAGCTGAACGACAATAGGAAAAACAAGACCATTACAGAGAAGAAGTATTTAGAACTCAAGTTAAATCAAGAATTCAAAAACCCTGCAAGAGTTTACAAGAATTCGAATAGGAAGTTGAAAGGCTAGTGGGTTTGACGTTTCCTGCAGCTGGGGAAGACATGCTGGAATGGATGGCAGTATCTGCATTTATTGATGGTCTCAGAGATTCCAAGATCCAGGAAAACCTGAGAATGTCTAAGTTCAGAAAAAGTAGCGAAGCCCTTGTCCAAATATTGGAACTGGAATCTTTGGTGCCTCACGACTCAGAATACGAGCAGTGTCCATTGGAGACCCAAAGGATAAACAATCGTCAAAAGAGGATGGTAGCTTTGAGAATGAAATGAGAAATTTTATGGAAAAAAATGAAGAAACTAGTACTAGAAGTTAGACAAATGGGAAACGACTCCAAACAAATACCAATATCGAGAAACCGAGTAAAATGTTACCGGTGCCTTAAGCTTGGACATATGCAATGGGATTGTATACTAAGGATGTCCTCTCCATCTAGGGATCATTCCCAACGCTTATGAAGATCTAGAGACGCCAGTCCTAAACATCGACCTGTGGCCGTACTCTCGTAACCGGAGAACAGCGTTCTCTCAAGAGAACGATTGCTCTGTCTTTGTCAGTATTATGGAAATAACAATATGGGTGACTAAGACAGAGCAATCGTTCTCTTGAGAGAACGCTGTTCCCTGGTGACGAGAATACGGGCCCTGGAAACCTGCATGAAAATGCTGACGCTGTGTGTAGACGGCCATGTAAAGAAGACTGCAAGCATTGTCAAAAAATCGATGTGCATGAGAAAAACGCTGGCCCAGCTGTGAGAATAATGGGCCTCATAACTGGACTACCAAACAAATAAGAGAAGATCAAGAGGCAGACCAGGACATCGGACAAATTCTTCGTCTCACGGAAAATGATAAATGTAGGCCGAACAAGAGTCTGATTTACAAAGCGTTGTGGGCTTAGTGGAACTCTCCGGCCGTAGAAAATTGTTCACTAAAAAGAGTTTGGGAAAGTGCCGATGGGGAAACTACGAAGAGTTAACTAGTTATTCCAAAAGATCGAGTAGAAGATATACTAAAAGAAATACATATGACGGAACTTCAGGGGCACATTTTGGAGTTAACAAGACTTTGGACAAAATTCGAGAACGTTTTTACTGGGTCCACTATCATGAAGAAGTTAAAAACTCGTGCCGAAAATGCGACATCTTTGCTACCAGTAAAGGCCCTAAACTAAGACCTTGGGGGTCCATGAAACAGTACAACGTCGGTCCCCCATTTGAAAGAGTAGCGATAGGTGTTGCCGGACCGTTCCCTGAGTCGGAGCGTGGTAACAAATACATCTTGGTTATCATGAAGTACTTCAGTAGATGGCCAGAAGTTTTCGCTATCCTATTCCTAATCAAGAAGCCCATCACTATTATTGTATTAGTGAACGAAGTTTTTAGTCGTCATGGTGTGCCAATAGAGTTACATGCAGATCAGGGAAGATACTTCGAATCTGCCATCTTTGAGAAGATTTGTGAGATCATGGGAATTCGTAAGACAAGGGCAACACCTTTACATCCACAGTCTGATGGCAAGGTAGAACGATTCAATAAGACCATAGAGGAACACCTGACAAAAGTGGTCGCAAAGAACCAACAAGATTGGGACAAATATTTGCCCCTATTTTTAATGGCCTACAGAGCAGCTGCTCACAAGTCAACAGGCGAAAGTCCAGCTAGAATCGTTTTTAGAAGGGAACTCAGGTTAACTTGCGATCTGATGTTTGGAATACCTGAAGAAGAACCTGAAAATCTAGAAAATACGGCCTTGTTCAAGAAAGGGGACTATCGCGTTTATTCTGGATTCAACAAGAACGGAATACGGGTATATAAAGGCCGGTATTAGTTAGAAGTTTTAACTTTAAGATTGGCTTTAATACGTTTTAGATAGTGATTATTGTAAAAGTTGTAAAGAGTTGAGTTGTTTGAGTTAATTATTGAAATAATTAGTGTCAGAGTGTGTAGTAACGTTGAATAAATTATTGTTGTGTTAATTGGACTTTGATTTTGGAATAAACGAACCCAAGATTTCTGCCACGCATCCCAGAGCCGTGACAATATTTTAAAATTATCTACTACATAAAATCGTATTTCGTAATAGTAAGTAGGTATTCCGAAAATGAATATGTCAAAAAGATTTGAATAAAGACCTGCGGTACACTCTGTACACAAAATCGTTTAGATGTACAGGGTGTCCCAAATTCGAGGGCCAACATGGGAATATCGGTAACCGTTAAAGATACGGGGGTGATAAAATTAGACAAAAGTTGCGCAATAATGTGCCCATCAC